TATCATACTTTGATATGCGTAATTCATTATAGTAATCCAGTCTTAATTTCGGACAAACGTATCACGTTACTGTTATTAGTATTCTTTTTCTAGGGATTGTTAATAAATAATAATCAGTCTATTTTTAAATAGTCTTAAACATACGCATATAAATCATTCATTATAGTTCTCAGAAGAAAAAAATGTAGACGATCGTTGATACTATTAATAATTAAATTTTTTAAACCGATAATCAAAGATCATCTTACATTTTCGTCATTATTTCAAATCTATGTGATCACTTTCTCTTTAATATTTCTATCATCAGCAGACAGTTCAAAATATATTTGATGTACTTAAAGATCTATATAATAGTCGCAGTGAATAGTATTGCACTTAACATATTATTTATTGATTGGAGACCAAGAACATTATACAATAGTCGTAATATGTTTTTTCTCAAAGAAAAATGCAAACAATAGGTTATTTACTGTCGATCTTTGTCATTATATGATTGATAGCAATGAAGATAAGATCCATGTTTTGGATAGAAAGTTTACATTACATAAAGAAAATAAATACCAAACATATGTTATTTTATATTTTCTTCTAAACTTATTCGAAGTTATTTTACAACGATTTATACTAGGTATACATCAGTCCTTCAAGTCAATTAAATTCACTATCGATGAGACGGGAAGAAAAAGGACTGGGTGTTTTACATAGCAAAATTTATTCATATTGATATATTTTGTTTTTGAAATATCATGTCATATTGACAAAGTGTAAAAGAACATTCTATTTCAGTTTTCTATTAGAAATACTGGACTAAATTAATATCATGAGAAAGAAGAAACAGGAAGAACGAGTGCAGTTCTTACGCACAAATGAATATGATGATAAGAAGTAAGGAAATGAAATATTCTATCGACACTTTTATATGGGAACACTATGGAAAAAAAGCGATAGTTCCAGTCAAGAGTGAGATATTCTTAGTCGATTTTAATGATATAAATGCAGAAAAACTGGATCATAGATTGTTATATAAATGAGATAGATAAATATAATAAAAGATCATTGTTTTAAGATGTCTCTTTAATATTGATATTAATAATCGAAAAGGTATTATTTCAACCAAAGTTTTCTAAATATTAATAATAAACGATACATGATTGCGATTCTTTTTAAAGAATCATAGATAAATATTATTTTAATGCATGAATGAATAATATGATTGCATTATATAATTGCTCCTCTTTGTTTTTATCTTAACTATATTATAGATTAAAAATCATCAATACTCATATAACAAATCAATTTGAGACAAAAGTAAGCTGAAATTTTAATTCTAGATTATCCTGAAAAACATCGTAGTATCATTTTTTCTGTGTAATCGGTATATAAATATATTACACAGGTACATTAAACTTATTAGTTCTATTTCCTCATGTTGATACTTCGTATGTCAAACTCATAAATGACGTCAATGTATATCTATGTTTACCAATTTCTATTTCTCATTATTTTCCTTCTTTTTTTTACACTTCGATTATAAGATGAAAGTGTCAAGTATTTCGTGCAATCTACTTCCGAAAGAAGTTCAATTAAAAGCAGAATATAATTATATATGCTTATTGCACTTATACTTCCTTGTTTCCATAATCCTCATATAAATGAAGCAGATATAATAGAAAAAAATGAAGAAAGAATTTTTTTGTATTTCTAGACTAAATAATAACTTTTCTTTCTATATTATTCGATGGTAATATCAAAGAAATAAATATCATTAGCAAAACTTCTTTGTTATTTTCATGTAAAGTAAAAACTATGCTGTCAACATTATATAGGTCGAAAAAAGAAGAATTTTGTGCAAAAAAACAGAAGGAAACCATTAATTAACTCTACTTGACACGCTATATACTTAATAAAAAAAAAAGCGTTGTTGATAGACAGAAAACCCGTTCTATTTACTAACTATATATTATCATTGCGTTTATTCGATCATGTGTCTACATATATCACAGTATATAGTTGTGTCATTTAATACTAGACAATAAATCAGCTATTAAAATATTAATATATAACTGTTTTGTACTTTTTATATTATTCATTAATACAATACAGAAAAGTGTCAGTTTTATTTTAAAAAGATTAATACTTTTATTAAAATAATTTATTTATCAACAAGGTTTTTATTTCGTTCGAGATGTATATGAATTATTGAAAATATATATATATATTCTCATATATACAATAGTATAATCAATATTGAAATAAACTAATAAAGGTAATTGCTTTTTATGAACCGGATATTTTTCAATTATCAACTAGAAATATGATTTTTGAGAGCTTTTGATTAAATGGACAAATTAATATATATTTTTATGACAGTGGAGAAAATGAGAAATTTTTCTTAGACTATTAACTCATATATTGCCTGCTGTGTAGAAAGAAAAAACTCTCTTATTCGACATGTACTTTTCTTCATAATGAATAATATATTCCTATATATATATAGAAAACGATCTAGTTTCAGTTTTTCTTGAATGAGAATGCGATAGTGATATCTTAAGGTAAACTAAAAATAAATTTTTTGTTTTTTTGAATAATCTGTCATCATAAATTATTATTCAATAATCAAAGAAGCATAAAATTTTATGTTTTTATTTCAAACTAGAGATGACGATCTACCTATGATTATTATATGAATCTATGTCGTTATTTCTCTGTAGGTTCACTACTAGAAAAAAACAGAAAAATAATCAACATTTCAAGTAACACTGTCTGCCCTTTTGAATAAAACACGATAAGTATTTATTAAAAAAGAGCGTTTATGTTTTTTTTTCTGGAACTATTTAATAGGATTAAGTAAAAAGAAAACGGATTGGTTTTGTTTTTACACATTATTTAATCAGTGTATAACTTTTCTATAGTACTAATGATTTCAAAAATTCTATGTTGAGATAGAAATGAGAAGAAGAAGAAGAAAAAAAACGGAGGAAGACATTATAATAAGGAAAGAAAAAACTTCTTCTTCTTCTTCTTCTCAATCAATACGCATTTAGGATATATATGAGCATCAAGTGTCCATGTCTTTCTCTTGTCGATGTCGATTGACATATCTTAATTACTATCAATTATGGATCATTTATTTATTTTTTTCTATGTTATTTCTTTATTTTCTTATTTTTCTTCGCGTGCGCATACGTACATTTAGTAAAAGCACAACTACTAGCAATTTTTCTAATCGTTAGTTTTGCGTGTTTTGTTTTTCTCTGCGTTAGAAAGAATGTCACTGATGATAGTGATGAGATGGAACAAATGATTGTCAGTATAATCAAAAAAAAAAAAGTAGAAAATATACGAGTACACACACACACACGTATGTCACTTTTTATGACACTTGTCACTAGGCAGTACTTAAATAACAGTTGAATAAATTCATCAAAATCTATATTTTTTTATTTCAAAATATTCTAAACGAACATTTCTCTTCTATGTTTATATTTACATAAGAAGCAATAAATTCCAATTAGATATCTAAACATTCTCGCAATGTTATAACGATAATTCTATGTAGGAAATAAATATATATTTATTTATTCGATTTAGACTTATTGTTAGAAAAGTCTCTTGAGTATTTTGTCGATTGCTCCCAATTGAACAAATACACATGGTTATAAGTTATGTTTGACATGTAAGTCACTGGTATTCATACTAAGAAGAAGAAGTAGAAAAAAGAGAACTACTAATGTATGTTTGTTAGTATGAACTTTATATGCTTCCGTCTTACGTTTTCTAACTATCTTTAGTTTGAACACAGAATAGATCTGTATATATTTGGTTAGTCAAATATAATGAGGGAAGGAAATAGAAAGAAACAAAGATGAGATATGACAAGCGTTTCGAATCTATATTATTTGGCCACAAGAGAGAATACGTGTAGCAAGTGATAGGGAGAAAAAAAGTAATTAATCTACCTGACAATGGTAGATATTTTCAGAATAAATTAAATCGATCGTCTGTACGTAAGAATATATTATTTGTTATTTTTAGAATATCATATAATATAATAGTAATATTTTCTTTTGTTTTTCGTAATATTTTTTTATGAAAATAGTAATATAATTAATAGACTATTTTCTCATTATATTAATAAATATCGAGATTAAGATCAGAAAATCATATTGATGAGTATAGTTGACTTCTTCTTCTTTTCTGACATTTTCTTTTCGCTAACACGCTAATAATACTAGTGGAACATCTTCATCCTTATTTCTGTCATAGGGTTCGACACACTTCCTTCATTCATTTGTATCATTCCTCTAAATAGTCATATATAAGCAAAAAAAAATACAATCATTTAGAAATAAGTCTAAGGATGAAATAAACGATAAAAAAAAGCAGAAAAGAAAGAAAATGACGCTTATGTTTGTCATCATCTCTCGTTTCCGACCACTTTCAAACACATATATATATATAGATAGATATATATTCTATGAATGATGCACTAACATGTTTTTCTATTCATTTAATAGTAGTTGAATATGTTTTTCTATAGATATCAATCGATTTTTTTATTAGCACCTTATGTAGAGAGTAGAGTAGTTTTCATGCATGAGCATTAGCAGATAATAAGGTCTGAACAGCGGAAATCATTTGAACCTTGTTTTATGTGGTAGCCGATTTGTCGTTTTTATGATCATATTAAATATATATATATATATATGATAGTCTAATGTGAACGCAGAAAAACAAGAAAATATTTCTCTCTTGACATATTTTGCTTTCAGTCTAACTCATTCTTTCTATTTAGATTCGAGTTTTGGTTTAGATGTTTTCTCGATAATAACTTTGTTATCTATACATTCTTGTTATAACACGTCATTCTACGGACTTATTTTTTTTAAAACTACGAATATCATCGTAACTATCATTATGGCAATGTAATAAACAAATTTTTTCTCTCTCTTCTCTTTTTTTTCTTGTTGTTTTCTTCATCTTTATCAGTCATATGTATTATGCACGTGCCGGTTTTATCACAATTGCATCATAATTTCTCATTGCCGTCAATTAATAATTCGAATGATACATTACCATCACTTTTTCAAGATATTAATATTGATGGACCGATTCGACCATTATTTTTAACTATATTAATTACATTTTGTTTAACAATTATTATTCTTTTAACTATACTCGGTAATATACTCGTTTTAATCGCATTATGTATTGATTTTGCTCTTCGTTCACCCACTCATTTACTAATGGGTAATTTGGCATGTGCTGATCTTTTGCTAGGTAATTAGATTTTGTTATTTTAGTTGTCATGATACGCGCAACAGGAACAAAAAAAAAAACTCCTTCTGTTTTCTAAAGAAAACGACAGTCTCTTGAGTACATCCATCAAATATAAGCCTATTAAGTTTGTATACTCATCTCTTATGGAGAAAAAAAAAAATACCCAAATCGAAGTAAACAATAATAAAAGTAGAGCAAAATAAAATAATCTTTAATCATATAAACATTAAATTCTTTTTATCATTAACACGTGGTGGATCAAAAAATTTACAGATTATTTCTATTTATACTTTATCATGTGATAAATTATTCACTATTAATCATGATAAAAGTAAAATATGTTTATTATATGAAAGTTAGATTAAATGATAATTTAATGCTCCAAGATTTTTCTTTGCTGTGAAAGTATTAGATAAAAATATCTAGAGATTAATAAAAACAATCTATTTATCATCAATCATCTAAATCAAATTTATTAGACGTTATTTTTTTCATATTATTATTCAATTAAAAACATTTTTTAGGTATAACAGTTTTACCATTTTCTGGTACACTTGAAATTCTTCATGGTAATTGGTTATTTGGTAAAAAATTTTGTCATATATGGTTAGCTATTGATGTTCTTTATTGTACAGCAAGTATTTATGGTTTAATGTTTATATCTATTGAACGTTATATTGGTGTAACACGTCCATTACGTTACCCAATTATTGTTACACATCGTCGTACAATGTATGCAATATTATTAGCATGGATAGTTGCTGCTCTTATATCAATGGCACCATTTTTAGGTTGGCATAATAAAATCAATGCAAGTGATCATACTTGTGAAGTTAATGATGATTTATCCTATGTTTTCTTTTCATGTTCATTTTCATTTTATATTCCACTTATTATTATACTTTGTGTATATGGACGTATTTATGGTGAAGCTAATCGACAATATCAATTTTTAACTGGTGGACAAAAAAAAGTTCATTTAAATCAAACTCCTGGAGAAGAAGCAGTTACATTACGTATACATTTACCAAAACATATGTCATCGAATGGTAATCATACGCAAACATCATCAAATGGTAGTCAAATAACAACAACGGGTTCAAATAAAATATCACGATTAAGACGTGAAAGAAAAGCTGGTAAAAGAAATTTAAAATAAAATATGAATTTTTCTCTTCTCTCTTCTTTAGCTAAAACTTTAGGAATCGTTGTTGGAATGTTCATTTTATGTTGGTTACCCTTTTTTCTTCTATTACCAATTAGTAAGTCTTGTTCATAAAAAGATCATTCAATCAAATTTCTCGTTTAACATATTATTGAATTATCTTCGGTTGAATAATAAAATATTTGATTCTTTTTTTTCTGTTATCTATTTTTATAGAAGCATTGACATCTGTCAAACCGGGTGCAATATTTTCGATTTGTTTTTGGTTAGGTTATTGTAATTCATGTTTTAATCCATTTATATATGCATTTTCTAGTCGAGAATTTCGAAAGTAAGAAATACCTAAACTAAATGACAAATTTTGTTTTTCAAAATAATTCTTTATAGAGCATTTAAAGCAATATTAAGATGTCAACGGATACAACAATATAAACCGTCGACAAATTCATCTGGAAAATCATCACGAATGAGTGATCATTTACGTTCGAAAAGTAGCCGTGAAACAAGTAGTTCTCTTGCATTACGTAAATCGGAATCTACAATAAGTCGTGGAACATCAAATGATAGTCAACGACATAACACATCATCATCAAAAACAAATCGAAACATTGCGAACGATTCGAAACAAATATTGCGGCATGAATCTATAACAAATCAAACTATTCCAAAATCATTATCAGCATCCGATAATACAAGTCCATGGCATCGTCGAAAGCCAGAAAATGTCAGATAGAAATTTGAAAAAAAAAAAAAAGAATTTCTTTCTTGTTGTTGATTATTTTGTTTTAAAATTAATCTTTATCTAATAACTGTAACAAACATTTTATAAAGGAAAAAAAAAACTAATTTGAATTCTAAATGAATGACTACAGTGCAATATTATTTTGTCATTTTAGCTATTCTTTCTTTGTCCATCATGAAAAATGATTAGACACTCTATGTATTTTTTGGATAGTAGAAGTCTCAGTAGTAGTCTGTCTGACCTTATCTTGCGTGCGTGTTAAATGATGAAAATTCGATCATCGCGCATGTTTGTTGCACCGTACATAGTCAGAACAGGTGTTGAACAAAGCCGTAGGGCGTTTGTTTCATTTTTTTTCTCTTTGCGTGCGTATACGTCTATTCTCTCTTCTTTTTTTCTTCTCTTCCTTTTCTAATAGTACTACTGACCACTAGCTATATATTTTATTCGGTACATTGTTTTCCAAATTATGAGCCGATGAAAGCTAGACATCTAATCAATCCTTTATCGCTGAACAAGATATATGCGCATGCGCGCGTCCTCTTTTCTTCTATTTCAAGTTGACATCTGAAAGCGCAGAATAAGGACGTGTGAAAAAGATTAGTTCACTCGTCGTCTAGTAGCTTATCGATATCGATTATAATGAGGTTAGTGGGGCTTGTCAATGATGATGAGAAGGAAACAAAAAAAAAGAAGAAAAAAAGTGAAATAGACAAACAGAAGGCCATCCGGATCCGCTACTATCCAACAACGGAAATCAGTATATATGTATAGTAGTGATGATCCCCTGCGGTGCTCTCATTTAAAGAGATGGATAGATGAGGTTGGGCTGTTCGATGACGCACAAACGGTCATCATTCTCGCATTTGTTCATGGTCGTTTACACTGTATTAGAAAAGATCAGACTATTTTCTAGTTTTCAAATGAATAGATGATTGAGTCGACAGTAAGGGAAATGAAAAGAACGAGAAAATGAGGTAGACAGACTCTTATCGGTAACACTCTCCTTTTTTTACGACACATGTTAATAAGAAGAAAAGAAAAGAGACATGATCAACTTTGTTTTCTCTCATATGGATTCATATGTATTAGTTTTGTGTCTATAGATTACAATAAGTGTTTTCTTCAGTAGAAGAAAGCTTTGAAGGATGATATTATCTTAAAATAGTAAGTAGCATTTTTACCATAACGGAAATTCATCTCTCCTGGAGGCCATTTATTGACCGTTGTTTTATATGCATGCATGACTCTAGTTGTCGAGCTTTTCTTCTCATCTGTTCGCGTTTCCGAATGAAAATCTTGAGTGTATTACATCATATCTTAGTATTATGACATGTTAGGGTGAATCCCACTTCGAAATTCATTCATCCATCTATTTCTGCTTTATATGAATGGAATAGACAAAAGAATAAGAGAAGAAGCATGTAAGCACGAGATGTTACGGGTTGCACGACATTCAAGAGAGTAAATTAAAACTGACCAGTTGTAGCTAGCACTACTACTACCATCTTCATCCGTTTTTTTT